ATGCTTACAACATGACATTTAACAGTTTTATATTATCCTATTGTTTATCATCTCTACCATTGTTTGCACCTGAACCCACACACACACACACACACACACACACACACACACATCTTTGTTAACGTAAATTGGTTTTGTATTCTAATGTTTGTAAAATATTGTTCGGTCGTGTGTGTGTGTGTGGAGGGCAGCTGAACTTTGTAATGATTCAGGTATAAACAATTATTAAATATGCTGTTTACGTGTTGACAGTATTACCCCTCTGCAGGTTTTCCCTCCTATCATCAACAACATCAACAAGTACTTAGCGTTCATTACTGGCCTCCAATTTCTACATTAATAAATCTGCTGTCCGTGTATGTGTGTGTGTGTGTGATGGATTATTAGCGGTCATTATTCCCTCTGTTTACCTTCACATCAATCACTCACCTGGATCAGTAATGGTTCATGTGGTGATCAGTTCGTCTATACACCTCTTACACCTGACTACAAACTTGTGATTGGGGGGATCTAAATGATTCACATTCCGGGTTAATGATTATACTCTGTGAGGTTAGGATTATCACCCGATCTTCCTGGGTTATCTTTCTTAACATCGGGCTACACAGCTGGTTAACGTTGTGTTGTGTTGTTGCTTATACTCTACTTCTAAGATAGATTCCCGCTGAGGTGTACAAATGTCCCAAACAACTTATGCCCATGACACAACACACTAACCTTTACTTAACACAACACTATACAACATGATCACTAGTTTATAACAAAGCCAAAAGTGCATTTCATAAACATACTGTGACTCTCGCATATGTGGACGCGTACCTCGAGCATATATGCAAATTAATCTTTTGTATGTAAATTCGGTACATTTGTCATTAATATCGGTGTACTGGCTGGTTATTGCATCACGGATAAAAATAAATATATATATAGTCTACGGGTATTACATGACCAGGTGTTACACTATCTAACGAAAAAAAAATAGATATTAAATAAATAGGTTATATTTCGTATTCGCATTATTCTATATCAGGTATATTTATATTAGCTTCAGTTAACGCTCAGTTTCGTTTGCAATGTGTATGTTAATTACGCTTTAGGTGCGAAAATGTGACTCATATTTTTGTATCAAGTTTTTTGGGGGGTATTTTGTCCAACAGAATGTCATGCTCAATAGATTTTGGCTTGTAGATAGATAGATAGATAGATAGATAGATAAATTTGGGTTAAGTAAAGATCATGTAAACGTTACCTAATTAAGTTAATAGTTAATGCAGATATTTTATGGTAAATATCATCAATGTGGTGTATTATTATTATTGTCGTATATAGTTACCATTATCATTGCCACAATTATTTTCCTGAAACTGCTATTATCATCAGCATTAATGCATCAAAACATTTTTTTTAATAAGCCAACAGTATGACTCCTCATATTCTGAACACTAACCGGTGATACAAAAACCCGTTTATTATTAACTCCAGACTGTTGTTCTTAAATATAAATATAAACAAGATGATTCACCTGCCCTCTTATCAAAATAAAATCAACATACGAGTAAGTACAGTACAGTACAGTATATCGTTTTAGCAGTAACAATCCACAAGACCAACTTTTTTTTCCCCACACAAATATTTGGCTGTTAAACCTGGGCTCAAAGTTTTCTCTTTCATACACACAAGATGACGAGAAGACCAGACAATAGTTTAATATTTTTCACTATACTGTATATACAAGACTCTCCTGTCGTTAACTCACTGGTACAGTACACTTATTAAATGTAAACTTTCGCAACGATGTTAGTTTGTCAAGGTAGTGATTTTCTCTCTCTTGGTTTAATTTAAATTGTGGTCACTTGGGTCTTCTTATCAACTATAGGAACGTTATCTATATGCCAGGTCTCAGGTGTGGTAGTCCAGTAGCCTATCCTCCAACCCTAAACACACTTAACGTGATCTTATCTTACAGGTGAATGATGTGTGTAAAATTAGTCATTACAAATAGGCTAACATTCTACTCTAACCTAACCCAACCAAACCTAATCTAACCTATCCTAACCTAACCAAGCCTAATCTAACCTAACCTGACATATATCCTAATTTTCCTGAAATACATTTATTCTCATAATTTTTCGCTAATAATCGGTAATGTAAAATTGATTTTGCAGAAATTGACTAAAGTTCCATTATGTGAACTTTATGTTATTAAAATTTATATAGCTATGGTTAATTTCTTTAATATAACTGTCTTGAATCAACTACATACTTTACTTTTACTTGTTTAAGATAATTATTCTCTTCATAGTTAATATTATTTTTATTATTATTATTATTTTTATTATTATTATTATTATTATTATTATTATTATTATTATTATTACCAACAGAATCTCTATATTTTTCTTTGCAATCAATTCAGAAATTTCTAAAATACGTTTCTTCCGTTACGTTTCCCTCGCAAATGACCTATATTATTATTATTATTATTGTTAGCCATTTAATTTAAGTTGTACTACGGTAGCGCCTTTAAACTCATTCAAAGTCATTTAATCTCATTCGGTCATTTAATTAGCTTGTAACTGTTTATTTACCTCCATTTTCTTTGTTGCAATGAAAGAAAATGGAATTTTTATTGGGGGGACTTCTTTACATTTTTATTGTGGTTGTAACGTATAGCAATTATTTTACTTTAGTGTACTTTATTATATTTTATCTTCTATGCTACTGATCGACTGCTAACCGCTTGGGATGTCAGTCAAGTCTCTGTTACGTACTGTTGGCAACCTTATGACCCTTCTGACCATTGAGAGTTGGTCAAAATCCGCCTCCCTCCCCCTCCCCTCCTGAATCTACACCCGAACATCTAAGATCTCAATCAATCGTTTTATTTTACTGTTGTGTTCAAAAAATATCAGAAATATGAAGACTTCTGCCTTTACAGTGATAGTGCTGACATTCTAAGTCAACCTTACCGATGGTGAATTTGCACAGGTAAACAACGCACACTCAGTTGCCAGTTGGACATTCACATCCCCCCCCCTCACTACTGCCGGGCTCTCCTGTCAGCTAAAAGTTTTGAGTCTTACCCCGATTCTTAATATTTTTCCACATCCGGCCAATATTTTTTTTGGTTGCATCAGTTTAGATAGTTTAGAGGCCCACCAACACATTACGGTACATAATCCAGACCTCACTAGAATGTCCTGTATCCAGACAAGAGTGAGTGCCACCTTATTTTTACTTAGTGCTTGCATGGCCGGGTACCCCTAATAATAATTTACATTTAAGGAGAAAAAATAAATTCCCATAATTTACTTAAATACGGAATTTTAATATATACTGTATTAAGTTAGGTTAAGTTTGATAAGCATTAATTACAATCTCAATAAAGTACAACATGCCAATACTGTATAGTCATCACCCATCATTATTGACCCCTAATAATCTATACTGTACAAGCATAGTCACCCCTCTTACCATCTCCCCACCACAACTCCGAGCATCACCTACCTTCTGTCTCTGGATTATCTATGACTTATTCAAAGCCCCTTGTGATGCATATACTTTGAATTGCTAAATAAGTTTTTCATATGAGGGTCTACAGAGGAGTGCTTAAGGCAAAGGTATAAAACACCCCTCAATCATGTAATGTATGTATGTACGTATATTCTGATCTCATACGAATAAACATGAGCCTCAAAAAAAAACGTTGAATAGACCTTTGATGGCCTCACATTCCTATTTCTGGTTTTAGATTACCTGGGGATCCGAGAAGTGCCCTATAAAGATCTCATCTGTAGTAGCTTAGTAAAGAGGCCTTATAAACATACATGCCAGTGTATAGTATTAACTAATAATTCACAGAGTACTGTAAAGTGTTTAACAAACACTAGTAAAGCTAATTTTTTCAACATAGTTTTAACTTACTGTATGGTCAAATTGACATGATACAGTACAGTACAGTACAGTGTTTATACCTGGCCCCCTTCCCTCAGCATGGCCACCTCTAGTTTTTTCAGTTACAAGCACACACAATTCTACATATGGAAAGTGCAGAACGGAAAAAGACATAAATTAAATTTATCATAGAGTATAAAATTTTAAGTATCTGAGTTTACACCATGAAGCAATGTGGCAAGCATGTGGAGGTTGCAGGGTCTGCAGCACAGAGCATTGTTGCCAGGGATGCTGCTGCATTGCTAAAGCAAGCGTCAGTGATAACTGCCACACAGTTTGTACATTAACTTTTACTACAAGTATATCAATTTCGTTCTTTTTATGTTTTCATTATTGCCATTTATATGGCAACAATTTTAAGTTTTAATGTTACAGTGTACACTGTACAGTTAAAACTACTTTTAGGAGTTAATCTAATGATATGAACAGAGGCTTCACAGCCAGCTACAAAGGTTTTACTGTATATTTAGTACAATTTAGGCTTGCTGCTCCAAATTCCGAGAAAAAAAAACCTTATCCAGTAATCCCCAGCTCCCAAGCATGTGGGATAATGGTCTCATGCCTTTACTTCTAAGTTTATGAATAATGAGACTGTATCAAAATCAAGTTAAAATCAAAATATTGTAAGGATTAAACCATTACATTAGACGTAGGACCATGTATAATGTAATAAAAATTCATAGACACTCCCCAGGTTACAGAGGAATCGAGTTATGAATTTCCAACTTACAGATACAGTACAGTACTCTCCCATAAGTTCCATGCTTAATTTTCTAAATTATTTTGATCTAGTGTACTGTACTTATCTTTCTTTCCTATGCTTCTATACATAGGCAGTATACTGTAGTTTTTTAATTAATAAAAGACTATTGAATCTTGATGGTATAGCAATTATATATACGCAGTTCAGTAAAGTACATTATGTGTACTATGTGTGTTCATGATTACCTATGGAAGGGTCACTTCCAGCTTATGGAAAATTCGGCTTCTGGATAGCCTCCAGGAACGGAAACCATCCGTAACCCAGGGAGTGTCTGTATTCTATATTAAATATAGCTACCATTTATTATATTTCTTATTTAATTCATAATGTTTACAATAAGTATCAAAAACTCTTCTATGTTTGATAATGGCATTAATAACATTCTTCAATGTCCACTGGTCTTCATGCAATGACTGGTGAAGACTGAAAGGACCCTGTCTAGTTCGTTGTAGCTCACACACATGCGCACAGCTTCCAACAGCTGGAAAGAAACAAGTGAATAAATATTATTTGAAAGCTAGAGGCAACATTTTCACTTAGGTATTTTCATAAACAATGCAATACACAAAACTCCTCAGCAAGTCTTCCCTGTACTGTAGTGTGGTCTCTAACACTATACAGCTTGACCAATCTTGTTCTCACTGTAATTTTCTTTTTTTACACCAAGAATGGCTGAATGGCCAAGATCCCTATTACAGCCCATGCTAAATTCAAAATACATGCCCAGCCAAGAATTGTGGGATACCTGATGTATAATGCCCTCCCACATCATCAGCCCCAATACCCATGTCCATTTTATTGTCTTAATGATCACTCACATGCTGTTTTATGTATGTTGTATTCCCTGGACTTGCAAAATAGCACTACCTAAATATTCTGCCATTGACCTCACCGAGATGTCCAAAGCAAGAAACCCATGAGTAGAATCCTCTGTTGGCCAATGCTAGCAATAAAGATCCTGGGGTGGCTTCTTCCACTGGTGCTTCAAAGTTGCAGCATGATTATATACCCTGGCAGGGGAACCAGCAAAGTGGCACACTGAATGCACTACCATATTCTAACTGATGGCCACAGGGAGCCCACAAATCAGGCATATTGTTATTCTTCTCCAAAAGTTCCAGCTTATGTGGTGTCACTTGGTCTGAGTTCCAATCTAAAGCCATCTACGTCCTCTTCCACTTCATTGCACCACCCAAAAAGAACTTCTTTAGGTCACAAAACTCCACACTGGACAGACTCTAATCTCAATGTCTTTATAAGTGTACATGCTGGTGAGTCTTCCAATATGCTTTACACTTTACCTACAAAGCTATCTTGATACGTTAACACAGTTGGACCACGCAATTGTTTTTAATTTATACCTAACACTTTTGGTCCTTATATATTCACATACCTAGGCCAAGGTCATTAACTAAACTCCGAACGTAGAATCCCGGGCCAGACACAATAGACAGGGTAAAATAAGGCGGTTCAAAATCTTGCAGTTTTAGCTTGTAGCAGTGCACCGTCCGAGGCTCAATACTGAAGTTAACTCCTTCCCTAGAAAAGAAAAAATTAAGAATATGATTTTTCTTTAATAAATTCAAATATGAATTCCTACCATAAAATACACGTTGAAAGGATATACTGTAAAGCCCTTGATATGTAAAATTAAGTTCTCATAACAAGAAGAAGAAAGCTTCATACACTGTACTAATCCTGTAGGCTTTGGCACATACTATGCACAAGTTGCTCTGAACTGCCATTAGGTTATAAAAGAAGAGGTTGAAAGTCCTAGAGAAAGAAAGCAGGTTCCAGTACTGCCTTCTTTCGATTTATTGATCTAATCTTGAAATCTGCTCCCCCCCAAAAAACGAGAAAATTTCCATGGCAATTTAATCTATTTCTGAATTGAGGCGGCTATCTTAAGTTAGTACTGTATACGTGGAGTTGGAACACCATCTTGGTCTACATTATGTCTTATTTTGATTCACTCAATACCTTTCCAGAGTGTGTCATTTTCAGAAAGAAAGGATCTAAATACATTAACTCCCCATAATCCATTTTGGTTAACTAACAAAATTTTACACTTCATCATTAGGAGGTAATTATTATTATTATCATTAAGTCACTGAAATCCATGCTTTGATGTTTCTCAAAAATTGACAAAGAAACAACTGTAAAAATATAGAAATTATTGCTTGAATTTAATGCTATTTGTTCGAATGTAAAATAATTTACTAAAGAGCTTTTTATTTAAGTCGGCATAATATGGACAAGAAGTTGGTGTTGACAGTTTGTACAAGAGAGTTCGATTATTGAGAAAGTAAACATAATCGATGAATGAGGTACATGTATTCTAGAAGATGGAGCCCCAGGAATGTTTGTGGCCAAGGAGTAAAACAAAACATTGCACAAAAGTATTAAAACCCAAGATGAATGTAAGTAAAACACAATCAGGTGATAGATGAAAATACTCACTGTGCTAAGTCTGAATATCTCCTCCCATTCTTCTTTAAGGCTGAATACAAAGGTGGAACTTGCTTTATTTTTCCTTCAAACTGGTGTAATCTCTCCTGTAACACATCTTCTGTAATGTGATCTGTGCAACATAAATTATTGTCAATGATAAGAATAATATCATTAGTGCAAGTATATAGTATTAACCTTGAACATCTTAAATTACTTTATCTTTATTTAATTCTATTCTGTCACTATCTAAGTTTGTCTTGTGCATTTCTCCCTTATTATTTCCCCATTTCCTTCCTTGATCAATCAAACTCATTTGAAGAGGAACTAAAAATTTACAACCATTATCATAAAAAGAGAGCAGTACTAACCAAACTGCTTCTCCAAGACCACTTTGCCTCTTTTATTGTATGTGTCTGTTGCAACTCCAAGTTGACATCGTGCAAGATAACTCTTCTCACCATGCAGAAGACACTTGAGTTGTCTGCATCCATCCCCAACACCAACAGCTGTATAAAAGAGTATCCACTTAATGATAGTTGGAAAATTGAGTATCCTCCAGTCTGAAACACTCAAAACAATTAGTGATATATTCTCTTTCATTTACAGTAAAGTCTTCCTCAACTGGACATCTCTCTAAAGGAGCAGTCCAGTTCTATTCTAAGATACTGTTATTTCCTTGTTTCCAGTTACTCATGAAAAAAGAATCCCACCTGTTATGTCAATCTCTATGTATGTTGGTAAACTTGGTACACAGTGGACAGTATTCTTATGCTGACACACATAAATCCTCTGTGGGTGACTGGCTACCCACACAACTCCTATGGACCCAAGGTATATAATTAATATATGGTCACTCATTTTCTCCTCTTGTTGTGCTCAGATCCCCTCTCATATACTCCCCACCTAACCACCAGTCCCTTTGTGTCTGCTACTTTGAGTACAACTTTAAATGTCAAGATGGAATTTACCTTCATTTTTTTTTCATATTCTGTGAGTTAAGTAACTACTGAAGTGTAAGCTAAGATTTCAAAGAGGGAAAAAAAATATGAACTGATGACAGTGAAAACAGAGCTTGAAATAATGCAATACTGTATCTTGACAAAAAAGTGCACATGAAAGCTCTAATGAGAGAATATTGTGGGATGAGTGACCAGAATAATGAAAGAGAAGGTAAAGAGCTGCTGTCATTGATGGTTATTCCAGGACAATCAGTAAATGAAATCTTATGTAAACTCACTGAATCAGACTGGTGCTGTAACTCTGTGAAAATTAATGTTGCAGTCCACAGCTGCAACAAACAACAGAGAGCCACTATAATTCAGTTCTTTTTTCTCTTTTAGCACATTTTTTTTTCAAATTTTTCTGTTTTGGATTTATATTTTGAGTCATGTGATCAAAATCCAGAAAATTACAGAAATAACTGGAAAATCTTTACTTTGTTGTAATTATAATACTGGTCAAAGAAATATTTATGAGTAAGTAGAATTTGTCCTTAACCAGACTGGTCACATACCAATTAAGGGAAACTTTACTCTACATGGGATTTGTTAAATTTGCCATCAAGAAGGTATAAATGCCACATCATGTTTTTTTTTTTGGGGGGGCGGACACATCTTGCTACAAATGTTGTCTGTGGTCTCTAAAGAACATCCTTTATTTCTATATTAATAACTGCAGAAATAATACCGTGATGAGATGCTTTCAACTTACTAAGAACTCCTGTTGCTGAAGAGTCTAAGGTCCCTCCATGACCAAGCTTTATATCATGAGTTGCTAGGATGCCTGTCACTTCTGAAACACAAGTGCTTATTGATTTTTTTTGTTTTATAAATCTTTACTATGAAATACAAGAAAAGTCCAACAACCAATTTTTCTAAGGAACTTCTTTCTTTACATGATGAATTTTACTAAAATGTAGTATACAGTACCATAACTCGTGACTAAAATAACGACTGGTATGAATTAATGTTCTTATCTACAGTATTACTATTCAGAAAAATCAGGACAGATACAGTAATTACTACACCATCATCAAGCACTGTCCAGTATTCAATCATTTTCCATGCTTGCTTGTGTTAGCCATGAGTAACTGATGGCATGGTGTCACAGTTACCATCAGACAAATTTGAAGCAAGTTTGACAGCTGGATGTCCTTCCTAATGCTAACCTACTTTTACAGAGTGGGAACGGGGGATTTTACAGTATGTAAGACTTCCAAGAACACTTCATTTTTTTTTTATTCCACACACACAATTCTAAAATCTCTGCACCTGTGTTGCTACATTCCCCACAGTGCTACCAATACCTACTATGTTCGGCCCTCCCTTTAGAATTCCCACAATCTCTTCCATATTTTTTCTTAATCCTTCTCCCATGATATTTTTTTCTTCCTAAATGGATCTTCTGGTTATATAATTATCATAATGTTGTAATGTTTTAGTTAATTTCATCAACCTATTTGTGTACAGTATTAAAAGGTTCCTGATATTACCTCAGTCCCCATTTTAATGTTTGCATTGCAACAATAAAAATTTTTATCACCACCAATGTATAAAGAACCTCCAAACCTTAATATTCAATACATCTACATTTCCTTAAATTATGAAGCCTAGAAGAGCAAAACTAATAACAGGACATAAGGTATATGAAGCAATGATCTAAACTCGATGATCGAGAGCTGCAATAGATGTATGAAATTCAATTTTAAAAGTGAATGTACAAAATTTGTTTCTCGTGACAGTGACATAAATCTCTTAGTATCACTGTACAAGGCTTATCAAATTTACACAAATAAGCTACTGTACCTGCTGCAAGTTTCTCTTTGAGTTGGTTTAATAATTGAGCAGAGGTTACCCCATGAGGTTTCAGTACAGGGAAGACTCCATTTAAAGCTCTTCTCAATCTTCCTTGATTCATATTTCCTGTAACAAATAATACATTAAATATGTGACTATTGAATATTGTGCTTGTTACTGAATGTGTAAAATGATATGTTTCAATAAGATGATTACAAATAGGGTAATAAGGTAATCTTTGTCCTGTGTTCTAACTAACTCCTCTATATTTCTTGACTGTGAACAGTGTACTATGTGTATTGATGTTAGTAGTGAGTGTACTGTGTTTGTCTTCAGTGAGTTGGAAGACTAAACTGTATAATGATTGTAGGAGAATGATGACCTATTGAAAGCTTATTTTTAGACTTACAGTAATACCAGTGAGTGTTAGACAATAATGAAATAATTTAGTGGAATAAGTAAGCATGCTGGCGGACACTCGCCCTACAAGGGGTCACAGCTCAAGGTTGAAGAAGCCGAAAGCCCAGAAAACTGAAGGGTAACTTTTTCGGAGAAGAGAGTTAAGAACTCTTGGAACAATCTGCCAGAGAGTTTTGTGACGGCACTGAGTGTGAGTTCTTTCAAGACCAGACTTGACCAACACTGGAGCGGGTTCAGATACAATCAGGAGCCGGTGCATGCCCAGTACTTGCCAACAGTGCATAACAGAGACATGACCGGTCGCCCAAGCGGATAAAAGTAAGCAAAAGTGAAGGTTTAATCATCATTTTAGTCTATTGCAGTTAGCAATAAAAGATATAGTTCAATCTTTCATGTTACCTTTAGTTAAACCACTTGTCAACAATAAATCCAAACAGTCATATTCATTGATAAATATTTATTAAGTAAAATCCTCATTCTATATTCACATTGTACACATTCATCTAGACAGATTTGGTATACAATAAAAAAAACTTGTATACTGTACCTACATCATCTATACACATACTGAACCAACTGCTATGATTTCTCAAACCTTGTACAGGTATTCGTATTCCAATGGCAACATATCACCACATAAAATACACTATTGTTATGCCAACAGTTACACAGCAACACACACACACTTCATACTCAGAAATTCGAAATAGTAATAACGTTTATTGCTTGACGAAACTGAACATACTTTAAATTTACATAAATTTGACCATTTATGTTAATTAATCTTTATAATTACGTTTTTTAATAAATAATCAAAATTACACTAATTTAAGAGGGTTTTTCGTTGAATATCTACCTCAGCTGTTTGACATAAATAGCTGTGACATTTAAACAAAATTAATTTACCAATCAGCAGTGTTGTGTAAAGGGTAATTTACAGTCTCTTCACCACTGGTCTGCCTGTAACCCTTGGGTGGTCGGTTACTTCTCTGTGCTTCTCACTGTGGGCGTGTCGCTGTTAAACATTTTCCATTACCGGTATTTAAGATACCCTAGGACACTTGAAAGGTGTTAATTCTCTACAGGTTTATATAAATTTGAATTGAATAATGCTGAATACATGTCAGGTATAAGAAGTATTAAGAAATTTAGGGGCTCTAAAGTCTAATTACACGAAGAAATTGTTATTACCTCAATTGCATGTTTATTACTGATTGCTGTAATGTAAATGGATCACAATCTGTACACACATTTAAGAGCGATTAAAATAAACAGGTAAGTCATAAAGGAACAGATTGAATAACTAACTGTTGTTCTTTCAAGAAATGCTTCCCTCCCCCATATTTAAAATTGTTACTCTTCTTTCATTTATGTTTCATGATGATAATTCCTCTTGATTCATTTATAAAACTTAAACATAACGTCATTTCTAATACCTTCAGAAAAAAAAAGTTAACTTCTCGTAATTTACTCTTCAACCATCACCAGTTTAAAATATTGATATAGTTCCGGATGCATTAATGTAAATTTTGGAAATATTTTAAGAAAATTATTACTTTAAGACAAACATATAAATTAAATTAAATGTACTTTATCTTTTCAAATGCTTTTCGTAAAATAGATAAAAGAGGTTTTAAAAGAGTCTTTGTATCGCATAGTAAACCGCCTCTTGAATCACCTCCCTCGGCAGTCAGTGTTTGAAGGGCGAGAAAAAGTTAACTTGATTCAACTACCTACAGGATACACAAATTCTATAATGATAAAAGATAAGGACCTTGTGGGAATGCGTTCCTTAGAAAAGAGGCTCAAAAGCTTCAAGAAATGGCCGTTTGATAATGAAATGGGCAATAATAAGGAAAAGGTATGTTAATGTTCCTGGGTTGGCTGAGGATATTTTTTTGTACTTGGGGAATATTTTACATAACTATAGTTCTTATTGACATTATAGGTGAATTTATAGTCAAGCATCGGTCTTTCTCTAGCTGTTATTAATATGTATTTAGTAATCTTTAGCCGATGAGATAATAGTGTTTCTGATAATGTCTGAGAACAGCACTACCACCAGAAGGAGTTGTTCCATTTTTTTTACTGTATTTTCACGTATATTCTTATCATTATAGTAAGTATTTTAGAAGAGGTGACATTTACTAGAACCTGTCCTATACAACCAAACAAACCCTAGCTAACCTTACCTAATTTCCTAGCCGGGGGACACATGAATCAAAGTCAAAAGATTAAAGGTTAAATTCGTGAGAAAACCAACAGTTACCAACAACATATCAACCTTATAATTAAATGTTTTCTTTTAATACCCAGATGGCAGAAGCTGGATTTTACTTCATTGGTAGCAAAAGGGAGCCTGACCTGGTGAGGTGCTTTATGTGCCTCAAGGAACTTGATGGCTGGGAGGAAGAAGATGTTCCATGGTATGTGAGATAAAGTTCCACTTACTCTGGAGATATAAGCAGTAACATCTAGTGTGTTTTCCTTTTTGTATAAGCTTAATGTGTGGATTGGTAAATTTTAAAGTTTCAATCAACTACGGCTCTTGAGTTGAGCAATGTGTTTTTCATATAGTTTACACAATTTTAAGACGCTTTTCTATGACGTTTCCCTCGCAAATGACTTGAATATACAGAAGGATCCAGGGGGGAGGGGGCAGCCTGAGTTTGAAGGGCCACCTGATTAAAGGCTTCACCAGAGAAAGGAGTTCCACGATTAATCCTTTTTTTTTCTTGTCATAATTTGAATTCTACACATTCTTGTACTATATATACAGTATTACTTAGAAATTTTATCCTTTGCATCATCTCTGGCCAAGCACCTCATTCTCAATAACATGCTTAAACCCTTAAGGTATATAGATGAGTTACATTAATTTTTTAGACATAGAACTCGGTACAGTATTACAGGATATGCTTTATTTTGTTTACAGGCAAGAACATGAAAAACATGCACCATACTGTCAATTCGTCCAGCTTAATAAGCCAGAAAGTGAGATTACGTTCCTAGAGCTGCACCAGCTGGAGATGCATCAAGTGATTAATGTGACAGTAAGTGAGATACTTTGTAATATATTACTCAAGTTTTCTTAAGTTATAATTTGCTGTTCGAAAATTTTTTCACTTGCAAAACTTTTCCTGCTATATTATTGAGTAACGAGAACCATTTAATGTCTTGCTCTCGTGGTATTTTCAGCCACTTGCTCCTTCCCCGTGTGTCCTTAACCCTCGCCCTTCCATCCCCTTGTGTTTCCTACAAGCCATGCCTGGAATTTTTATTTATTTATTTTTGTTTTTTTACTCCAATTACAACCTTAAAAACTCAAGCCAGCTCTCCCCATTAATTCTTTCACTTTTAAATTTCTGTATTTCTTACTCTGCATCCTACTTGCTTCACATATTGTTCTAAAACTCGTCATACCTATCACTTCTAATTTGCTTCTTGCTTTTGTGTTTAGAATGTATGCTTCACGCATGTAAAGGGGAGTCAATGTAACGGTTTCTCAAGTTTGTTCTGTTAATATTTGCAGCGTTACAAGCTATTCAGAAAAGTGTTTATCATTTATCAATTCTTTTTTGCATTTATTGGAAACTTCAGTTATGCTCTTTGATTGAATTTAAGAATGTACAGTAAAGGTATCCAGATATTTTAAAAAATTATTCATTTCAATTTTGGGAACATCTATTTTTTCAATTTCTTTAAATGGAATCTCAGTAAAACTTTGGGGATCATTTCTGTAACTTTGTCAGTCGGAATAAAGTGTCATGTTGTTTGAAAAAAAGTGTCTGATGAATTCTTTTGAAATTTAGCAAGATGAAAACCTTTGGTAACCAAGGTACATACAATATATATACTGTATTAAGGAGTTAGTCTCATGACTTGAATGATTATTTTATTTTTCTGATTTTTTTCAACGGTCTCAAAGAAATTCAGAGCTCACTTTCCTCAACTTCCCTTCGGAATAGTATTGATGAAGGGAATGGAATATTGAAGTGCAGTACAGTGATTTGTAATGAATAAATAGTGGAAACTTTTTCTGTATGTGGCAATGAAAGAATATACAGTACTGTACTGAAGTGGTGCAACTGTTACAGGATGTTTTGTGAATAAGTGTTCGGTATTCAGGCGTAAATACATGCTTATAACTCCGTTGGTGAGACGCGTTGTGGTTGTGGTACGGTGGTTGTCATATGGGCTATGGCACTCTAGCACAAGCACTGTTAGTATAGCACAATAATCACCCGATTATAACCTCATTATTAAATTGTACACCGTGTCACTATCACGTACAAAACCTTTACATTAATTACAAGAATGACGTTTTACTATCACTGTCATATGGTGGGAATCACTACACTGCAGATGTGTAATCCATGAGTTCCCCCTCATCATCATCATCATCTGTGACCACCTATGTCTGATGGTTTCTCTGGTCCTTGATGATGTAAAGGAAGAACTGTGCCTTGTCTGCCAGCACTGCAAACATACAAAAAAATTACAGAAGTGGGATTTTCAACCATACAAACGTTTGCTTCATGCTCCCTCGGAAACAAGAGGCAATAGGTCTGGGAAGACAATGGGATAAAGACCGTTTTTGGCCAGGGTGGTGCTTACGATGTTATGGTCCTCATAGCCTCATATACTGTAATATGAATTATATGATGCTACAAATTTGTTACAATGAAAAATTTGGTGTTTAGAAAACTTTTAGCTGCAATCCACTTGCTTACTGCAGGTCAATATACTTTTACATTTCCACAGTTTGAGAATATTAAAATTATCACATTATTTTAAAATAATCAGAAATTTTCACTATTTAATGATGTTTTCAATTAAATTTTGTCTTGGGTATGGAAGCCATATGGTTTCTTCAATTGAAAAGGTAATTAAAAAGTTCTTATGGGCATTTTCATCATGAAATCTCATGACGCAGTGAAATGGTTAACGTCAAGTAAATTATTTTTCTGTTATCGTGGAGATTTTTTCTAAGAATAATTTTACCTGGCATTGAGGATAGATAAATCATTCAATGTAGTTGGTGCCTAATTAAAAATAAAGGCCAAGGTATAATGTATCTGGACAAATGTTGTCATGATTACCCTAAAACTTAAACTACAGAATATAAATAAGAAAAAAAATATTGACCTAAAAATGTATTACTCTTGTTTACAGAATAAACTTCTGGCAAAGAAAATTGGAGAGTTCAAGAAACAGTGTCAGAAGACCCGTGAAACCCTAGAAACCTTAGAGTAGTTACTCTACAGTTGGCTCTTCTGAAAACTTTATGTATGCTATAGTTTATTACTTTAAGTTACCCTTTAATTTTTAGATCAGGACGTGTATTTCTATAGAATAAATACTTTTAGGTCCTAAGTTAAAAAAATATGTGATTGGGAAATGATCATAGTTATCTTCATACCCAAATGAGAAATTCATAACTAACAATGGTGTGTGCTTACTCTACTAACTGCCACATGCATAATCTACCTGTATCATGATATTTGTCCAAGATAATTTTTTATATGGATGTTCTTAGAAGTTTTGATAAAGTTTCATATCGTATATTAACCTGTAGTTCTCTATCCTTTCCCCAAAATGCAGCAGTACAGTACAGAATTTGGTTTTCATGGAGGGTTCTCTTAGAGCTAGTCTGTTATGTTACTCTTTTTTTTTTTAAAGGGGGGGGGGCGGGTAGCCAAGAATTAGATGCCAGGTTTATTAGTAATGAATGGTTGCCTTACTCAAGTCAAAGGTAGTGAAAATGCTTAAGGTGTGTGTGATAACCAGTCATGTGGGAGAGTTGGGAAAGGGGAGGCAGGGAACTACTGTATCCTTATTATTTAACCCTTTGGCTTTTTTTAACTGTGATATACTGTATAATACCCACAAGAAATGGGTAATGATTAAACTGTGAGCATGAGACAAATGATAAACTACAGACACTCCCTCAGTTACAAAAGGGTTCTGTTCCTTAAGAGCCTTTCATAAATTGGAGCACATTTCCCATAGAATCCCATTATAAAAGCTTTGTGGTGTAAGCCTATTACCGTAACAGGATGTAAAGGAAATGCTCAGAATAGCAAAATAATATTTAATTAAATAATTAACATTACAAATGTATGCTTATGAGAATGCATTTTATATTTATAATACAAATACAGTATACTGTATATATATATATATATATATATATATATATATATATATATATATATATATATATATATATATATATATATAATTTTTTTTTTCTCATTAATTTTACAATAGTATTAAATTTTATGAGGACTACGTTTATATAATTAAATATATTTACAAAGAATTCATTATTTGAAACAATCCATAGGTATACAGTACAGTACATAGTTTTCTGTTAAACTATCAGTAAGCCAGAATTTTTTTTTTTTTTTTTTACAAAATGTACACTACAATATTTAATACAATAAAAACCAAGGATAAGAAAATAAGCAAAGAATAAAATTGTCTTGTTTCTACCCCAGAATATTGGTGAATCTCCCAGTTATACAGTTTATAAGTAATATCTCCGTTAGCCGGAATCCCCCAAACCCGGAACTCTCCGAGAGGCACATTTTCCGGAAAATTCAGATAAAATAAATAATCCCGGTACCCGGAAAATTGTGGGGACGGGAGAGTTTTTTCCTGGTTTGAGAGAGGAAAATCGGGTACATTCTCTGGAACTTCCAAGAACATTTTTCATTACCCGGAAAATAACGGGGATGAGGGAATTTTTTCCGGGTTTAAGAGAGTCGTCTCGTTACCCAGAAATCTCTCATTCCCGGAAGTGTTCTGCTCCAATTGTTTCAGCTAATGGAGATATCACTACATTACTGTATAATTATAAGAAAGAATGGAGTTGCAAGTCACATGATAAATTACACTGTAAAGTCCAGGATATTGCATACCACAAGCTTTTGCGTGTTCAGAGGTACAGTATAAGGTGGTTGCTCATTAAGCTTCAATACCTTACATGTATCGCCACGTACCATAACATATAACTCGTTGGAAGACGAAACTTTTGCCAGGTGGGGAATGATGAGAAACTTTCCTGCTTGGTCTGGTAGTGAGAGGGTTAAGTTTGTAATTTCTTCCTTTAATAACAACAAAAATATAAAAGGTTAAATATATGAGTCAACAAAATTCAATTCTGTTTAATTCCTTCGCCAGGAGTTGTTTCATAATCATCATATACTGGGTACGATGGCTTGGCCGACTCCTGAAAAAGAAAGACGTTAACTCACTTTGGCTCTATTAGTTGTTTATGTTTCACAAAAATATCAATAGTGGGATTGTTTTTAAGTTCAAAAACATTTTTACTCGTTAGAACAAATAACAAATAGAAAAGGTAGTGGCCCTCTACTCTCGAGACCTGCTCTACCAATAAAAATTAGTTGCTAAAATTTTTTAAATTATATCAGTTATTAGTCTCCTGTACACACGATCAAATAAGTGTGCGTACACATTGGGTCGGATGAATTCTTAAATGATCAATACATCTATGCTGCGATGTAATCACCAACATGAACCACGCTACATGTTCTCAAGATTGATCTACGTATTTTCTTCTGAATGTGCATATAATAACAAGACCTACTATGGATAAAACAGGAAATGTCACTAGCAAGTGATATATGGCATTTCACAATACAGTATCCATCATCTGTGCTGTCAGATACTTATACTGTACTTTTTTGATCGTGTGTACCTGTACTTTTTTAGATATCAATGGTTTTCATCGCTAAAGTTTCAGAAAAATTAATATAAGAGTTTTAAGATGTGGTTCTTCACCAATACTATTGTACTAGTATTACAATTGCTACTAAAATGTATCCCAGTACTGTGCAGTTCACTAAAATCATTCAAATCTGAATTCTTCCCAACTCAACCTTGCAGCAGCAAAAACAATGCTGGAATACCCATGTGGCCTATGCAGCCATGCTACCGAGTCTTTTTGTATGGTGTATAAGGTGGGAGGCAAATCCATTTTGTGTGAGTAACAAACACTGGCCTCAATAATTCTTCACAGTCATTTCTAAATATTTCCAGCAACTCTGTGAGATTTGTTTTTTATTTACATTTTTTATGACAAAATGGCTTGACTTAAAAGATTATTGGTTCAATCAATACTTTTTGCATATCCAGACCACTCCTGGTGTGAATTAATTACGGATGGAGAGGCTGTATAGTTCTCTGGAGACTTTTCGTCAAAGAACCAAAAATGGTGCTTAAGGCCCATTTGTTATTGACTACTTTCAATTTCTCTGTAATGCTTTATTCCTTTATGTACTGTACAGGATCATTATTTCTTAGACCTTTCATTCTGGTAACCACAGATACAACCCTCAGTTACTCATTTCTATGGTTAGAATTTTTTTACATTCAAGTCTGTATTTCAGTCTTATATTAAGGTAAGAAGCATTATATGATGTTCCTTCTTTACCTACAAACTTACATTCCTTCTCTTGATATATATTCAGCTCTCCAGACACCCTCCTCCTTTTATTAATTACGGGTATTTGTATTTCTTGCAGTAATGTATTTAATTTAACAAGAAAGCACAAATAATTTGGAGAGAAAATGGATTAACAAATAAAAATAGTTATGAAATTTTTACCTTTGTAGTTGAATCAGGTTTCTTGATATATTTCTCTTCAAGTTTGTCAGCATTTTGTTTCTTCATCGTGGCAATTGTTAGATTTTCTCTTAGTTCTGATTCTCCTGGTGGTTCTGGGCGACGGTTTCTTAGCCATGCTAGAAGTTAGATCTTATCCATGAAAGATGATGATATAAATGATCAAATCAGTTTAAAACCACATGGTACTGATTAAAAACATATACTGCATAAGAAAATGATATCACTGTTCAAAAAAAAATTAAACAAGCAAATGAGAACCATGACATAGTTCCCCTATACTGTAGATATGTTTTTGTGGGTTGGCAGTGTTTGTGTTTATTTAAACCCATATTAAAGCAATATATACAGTACTGTATTTACCGTATATTTAAAAGTGTAAATTTACAGTAAAAGGCTACGATAGTAATAGATATTGCTCCTGTTCACAAGATGGAAAATGTCCAAGTACCATCTGATGGTAATATTTGAGTGGTGTTTTTTTTTTTGCCAGTCAATGGACTAAATTTTCATCCAGAATAATAAAATGTATTGTCTTTAAAAAAAAAAAGTCTTCAATCTAGATGAAATGATGGTACAGTACTGCAATTTCTTTAAAAGTTTAACAATAGAATATGCATTGTTCAAGACATCACACACACAAAACCCCCTTTGGGGATTGCTATTCCCTGTTCATTTAAGATCTAGAGATGAAATTAGAAAATACAGAAGAGTACTTACCATCCCACTCAGCTGGCATGTGCTCTTGGTCATATCTCATATCTACTGGTGGAACATACCATCTTTGGGGATGCCTCTTCCCTCTGCTGGGATCTGTGGCAAAGTGGAATTAAAGTAAGAACTTGATAAAACTGAAAATTTATTTATGGTTAGATCTAAACTGATTTACAGTACCGGTATTTGTGTTTATGCCAAGAAGGAAAAATCAGTGGGGGAGTAAGGGAAAAAAATACAGGCATTCCCCAATTTACAAATACCTTGTATCCAGTTAATGAAAAAATTAATTTTGCCCTACGCTTATACAGTATTTACGTAAGAAAATTCCAAAGCTAATATTTTTTTTCCATGCATTTCAGGGCTTCCCATACTGAACCTGGTTAGTTTATAAAGATAATTAAATTAATAGCAACAGACATTACTGTACTGTACAGCAATGTCTTAAGAGTCCTTAATTAAGTTAAAAATAAAATACAGTGTAAACTCAGACACCCATTTACAGCTGGGTGAACTGGGAATTGAACCACTCACCCTTGGAACATAAGGTTTAATTTAAACCAAAGATTCAAGATAACTTATGCCAGATACTTTTAATCTCTTCACTATGGGAATGCCAAGTTTGAATTTTATTTGGCTAAGACCAGTGATATGTTTGACAAACTTTTAATTTAAACCTTACAAAGGCTGACACACCATTTTTTTTATTATGAAGACATGCCATGGTGGATGATTATACTCTATTTGCTTTCTGATGCTACAGTTATTTCTAAAGTAAATAGGAAAAAGTCTTGCTATATAGTATAGATACTGTACTGTAATGTACTTATATTTATTATGTGGCACAAATTACCCAATTATTGCATTAATCAATTTTTTTTCTCTTCATAAAAAAAGCAAAATAACCACAAAAAACACCATCACACACCAATGTTAGGGTGTATAGTACAGTATAGTATTTGGCTGCGTACTGAGTCTGATCTTGGAGATTAAAAAATTTATTACCTCGTGAAATTGAAAAAAAGTGCATGAATAATGTTTTGTGCAACATAACTTTTCAAATTTTCTATGACTTCCTTTTGCAGAGAAGATGTGGCCAAGCTTCCTCTGTCCCTCTAACCTACCAATGCTAATCTAACTTAAATACGAGTTATCTTGTAAAAATATTAGAAATCCTAAATGTTCGAACAAGAAAACAACATGATGGACACTGGGAAACGTTGACCTAGCCCGTCAGGAACAAATACAGTAACTGTAAGTGATATTATGCAAAATGTATTCCTCGTGCACTTCTTTTACTTTTCATGTAGGTAAGAAAGTTTTTATCTTCTCTAGTGGTATGTAGCAAAGAGGATAAAAGTAAAATGTCCTACAATTGGTAGCTAGGATGCACCTCATTATGACCTAAAACTGATCTTATTATAAAGGGTGAAACATTTCCATTGCATCTTTACCAGTTGTACAGTACAACTTTTCACATATACGTTGAGACATTGTTATATACTTACAGGTATTTGACAAATTTCATAACCGAATGACAGAACACATATCGAATGACAATCTAAAATAACTGTTGGTGTTATGTCATTCTCTAATTGTTACATTCTCAAACTATATGTAGACTGTCGGTTTATTGTTCACGGCTGTCTATTTTATAATTTATGTCAATCATTTCCTTTAGCATGAACGAACAATTATTTTAGATTGTCATTCGATATGTGTTCTGTCATTCGGTTATGAAATTTGTCAAATATATATATAACAATGTCTCAACGTATATGTGAAAAGGTGTATTATTATTTAACATACCACTATAGTACCTGTACCCACCTGCTGGAATTTCATAGTATTTGTTGCCATGGTAATCATCACCAACATATACTCTAGCAGTCTGACGGGGCTTTAATGAATTTAAGAAGTGCTTGAAAGCTGTTCCAAATAAGCTTCTTGTTTTCCCAGACATATTAAAATCGTAAGGACTGTTCCAAGATGTTCGAGTACCGTCGGCCTTTGGTGATATAAGGCGTTCGTTACTGTCTAGCGAGGAGCATTACTATTAAAAAACTAAAATACCTAATATTATCTCCAGAATAAAATGCATGACAACAACTTGAACAAAACTTATTAATCTAGCTTCATATAACCACGGAATGTTTTCATCATCGATTTAATCACAGAAAAGAAAAATGCGTTATACCGGATATAAACTAAGTCCCCACAGATGTTCCCATGTAAACAAACTGGTTTATGTTCTTGAAACAAAAATTCGGATTCACTGGATTATTAATCTTTATTATATTAAACTGAATTATTTTACAGTATTTATCATTTCATCATATCACCTCTTATCAACTTATAACCGTCCGGATAGTTAGCCCGTTCTTTGTCACTATCTTATGGAATTTATTTATCCAGTTGTAATACAGGAAGAAACCAGAGTACAGTGCCCTGAGATTACTGAATAGCGCCTTACTACAGTACCACCAAAATAAATACCAAATTACCGCTTATTGTTAAGTTTTAATACTCAATAATTATATACCAAGATGATTTATATCTCAGTTATGTACAGTAGTAATCTGGTACAGATCGACATGTGTAGAGAAAAAATACAGGGTTAGTTAAAATTAGATTAAAGACAATTTTAAATTGTCAGAATTCCACGGTATTCAACATTTTATTTAATAAATCTAGATTGACGTTATGTTATTTTTACTTCAACAACCAAGGTCTTTAAGCGCGTAATAAGGTTGATAATTACACTAATGACTATTTCATCGACAATTAAAAATCTGACATAGGAATCTATCCAGATCTAGATACACGAGGATGAGGTTAGTTGTGCGATTTGACTCGTCTTTTCTATTGAGGGACTTATTACGTGCAACATATATGGTTGAATCTCCCTTACTATTGGGTTTCAGTTTACCGGAAATTCAGTATTATTATTCTGGATGTTTGGTACTGCACGGTACAGATGAGAAAGCCGTAGACCGTATCACATTTTTACCTTGACAAGTGCTACCTGTATGAGTCATTGTTATTCGTGACTGAACACGAGGTTATGTATTCATGAATTCCCTCAAAAGATGATTTATATATATACTGTATATATAAATATATATGGTTGACCATGGCTGCAGTTTCTGTTTTTTGCACCAAGAGTTTATTTATTTAAGGGAGAGAAAGACAAGAACTTATTTAATAGGAGAGATAATTAGGCAAGAAGGTTGTTTGACGCCTGTATACCACTCCTCCCTCCAGGCAGTTTGAGCGAGAAAGCTGAAATTTGCACACAATAGTAATCAAGTGGTTTTTATTTTACATATTTTTTCGTAGTGTGGTAGGGAGGCGGTGTACATTGTAAGTACCACTGTCTGTCATATTTAAGTTTATCCATGCTTTAAGTTCTTGTTAAGTAAGACGTACGTGTTAGTTTACATCGTTTCTGAGCGGTAGAATTGATAAGTAAAAACAAAAACTTAATAGTAGCCTTTTGCTTGGACGTAGCAGGCAGTGAGGTATTTGTATATAATTATAACATCGCTCAGAAGAGGATTGTGCACCACCTTCCTTGCCACCCCATAAACAAAATATAAGTTAAGGCCCAAGAAAAATTTACCAAAGCATTTGATCAATCTTGTCCAAATTTCAGCTTCCTAGTTTAAAAAAAAAGGCCTGAAATATTGGCCAGGCAGACGAGAAAGATGAGAAAAAGCGGGGCAGGGGGGCGGTGTACTATACAGGGTATTTTCCCTAAATAATCTGAATTTTTTATCACACGTCTATGGCCACGATAATGTGCTTGTTTGGAAAGTTAAATAATTAAATCCAAACATCCACCAACAAATTGCTTAAAGATATTGCCACCTTCACAATCACTACTGTAGTTAGGGTATCGTAAAATATGTTTTCCGTGTGAAGGGTTTTTATTTTCACATCTCAGCACGGAGTAATTGTAATATGAACCTTACTGCATCCCCATAGTAAAACTTACGAATGACTACACCAGGATAAAATAGTCTTTGTAACTACAGCTATAAGTGTTTCTCGAATCTGCGCTGGCAGATGTACGGCAGTGTGTGTTTTTACGGGATAAGCCCACCAGGGCACAGGTCAAAGACCCACACCAGGGTCTGGGGGCGAAAATATAATAATAAGAAGAAATGATGATAATGATGATAATAATAATAAAGGACCATAAATAAATACAAAACATTAAAAAAGATCAATAGTGAGAAACGATATTCGTGCAGTATGTTGTGTTGTCAAAGTAAGAGAAACAATTGAAACCCTGCAATTGTGTGTAAATGTGGCAGAAAGTCAGGTCAGCAACCTGGGACTTGGTCACAATTTTTGTGATGCCATATGGCAGCAGGGTCTACCATTAGACAACATTATGCTTCCAATATCTGTACACCTTGCGTTAGATTACATAATGGCTGTAAATGATAATAATATATCTCATAAATCATAATGTTAACGGATTCAGTTATCTGATATATTTCTGTTATCTTAAATCTTTCGGCTTTTTATTGAATACTTTTAATTTAGTAAGAGTTTCATTTATGAATATCTTCTTAGTCATAGTTTAAAACATTTGTCACTCAACTTACCTTAAAGGACCTGGATGGTCAGTGAGATATTCTGAATAACGATACATTCATGTGAGTCGTGCATGACCATGATATGCCCGGCTGGAGAAGTTTCCCTTTACTTTCTGCATCATCCGAACTTAATGTATTGGTTTAGTCAGTGTAATACAAGTATAATGAAGGGGTTCGCACAGAAAATTTATGAGAGGAACACCCTATCCATCCTTGCTTCTGTTTTTTACCGAAAATTGAGTAGATTCGTAGAGAATTCCGTGTGAAGCTCTCAGTGGGCCAAGACAGTGTTTTTGGGGTTCTTGTTTTCATTTTTCGCGACAAATGTGACGGTAGCTATTTTGAAATCCTAAGAAATCGACCGAGATGCTTAAAAATTGTCTAGTACTGAACATGTCGGTCATATTGCAAAGTTCGCTCGTGGTTCTAACCGGATCATTTGTATCACCTGATGATTAGAAACCCCAGTTTATTTCACCTGAAGATTAACCTAACCTTACTAACCATAACCTAACTCGCCAGGTATCATTAAGGTGGTTATTCTTCAAGTGGAGTGAGATGGGGTGTCTAATCTTCAAGTGGTTCAGCTGCTTTTGATACCGAGCTCGTCCAGACCGTCTTGGCCTTGGAGAATTTTGTTGTAAATCAAGAAGTGAACAAAGGGTAAGGAGGCATGATGTGACCTCCCCTCGGTGCTCTGGTATAGTGTGTGGCTTACCATACACAAATAAGCCAAGACGACTTTGGGGAGGAACAATAATAAATGTAAATGGCTTATCTTTACCGATTTTAGTAAGGGTAATTTATTAAGAGATGCCTTGTATCTGCCTATATTCATGTTTGTGATAAAAAATAATAGTCTATAAGGTTAATGAACTAGGAGAAAAGAAAAAAATCGGGCCACTTTGTCAGTAGAAATACATGAGCGATTTGGACAGTCTAGAATATTGTGTGTGTGTGTGCTACAGGGGGCAATGCTACTTTCCTCAATTAATAATTTCAGCTTGTTGATTATTCTCTTGCACTAATAATTTTGGTACATTTTGTAAAACTCGTGAAATTAAATACGTCGCGGGTGATCACGAAGTTTAATAACAGCTGTGGCTTAATGGGTCTGCTGAAACTAATTTATCCGTGCTCCAAAATTCCACTTACTCTGACGCACTGCTATATCGCTGCAGCTAACTAAACGTGGTGAAATTTTGTAAGCTTTATAAATAAATTTTATATTTGTTTGTTTTCTCCCGGGTAATTGTCCGATTTATTTATTGGAGAGTTTATACTGGTAGGAAAGTGGTATGAAGTGTCATTGAGGGAGGAGAGTGGTGGTGGTGCGGGGTAGTCGCATCACGTTAAGGGAAGCCTACACGTAAACTAGTTGTACACTCTTCACTCATCAATTAATATACATTGTTAATTCGCTGTATCAGCTTTTAATTACCTTGATAAGGTACACTGACAGGAAAACAAATGAAGATATAGTAAGGTTAGCAAAATCTTCAAGAAAAACATTCTGGAGCCGGTGCATGCCCAGTACAGTAATTGCCAACAGTGCGTAACAGAGACGTGACCGATCGCCCAAGCGGCTAACGAGCCGATCAGTGGTGAAGAGGTTAAAAGAAAAAGAAAAGAAAAGAAATGTACAGAAAAAGAAAAATGAGATATTTTGGTCATATAATTCGGGATGAGGGAATAATAACAGAAATATTAACAGGCAAAGTTAAGAGTATTAGAGCCAGGGGAAGGCAGAGACTGAGATGGTTGAATGAAATTATAAACTGAGTCCCCAGAGAGATACAAAACCTTAGAGGTTTGGTAAAAACAGCCCTAAACGTTTAGAGTAGAGGACTGTGGTCGGCAACCCCCAGATATGAGGATGGTACTCTGATGCATGTAGTGATGTTATTGAATCTCTTCAGAATAATTGTCAGCTAAGATCGATTTCAGCATGACGAATAAAGTGACTAAGATACTTGTACTGTACTCTAGAAAAGTAAGACTGATATTTTTTAAAGATTAGTTTGTCATAAAAAAAATCTAATATGAGGTTACATTTTACATGGCTTATATAGTAGGCTACATAGTTTGGTAATTTTGGTAGTATTGATAGTGATTTTTTTTCGGTATCGGATATGAAGCTTCAGTTAACAGTATATAACTTGGAAGTTTGACATGACTACAAAACTAGATCGGCCCCTTTTACTCTGAGAGCTCGACGCAGAGTTTAGCTGTTTATCAATAAATAAAGCGAACAAACAATAAGATCTTAAAATCGTGTTAGTTCAGTTTTATGGTACTCATAAAACCGTAATTACAATGAGTGTCAAGTAACTAAAATCCTAGTGGGATCAACTTCCCTCTTCCTTACTTTAAGGGGTCCTCTTGCTTTAAGGGGACCTCTTACTTACTTTAAGGGGTCCTCTTACTCCGTGTTCGCAGCGAGTCTTGAAGTCGGATGGGGATTCGTCGACAATATGAAGGTTCCAGTGGCTATTATGTCCTTCAAATCCACTTGTCATGGATCGATCACATCTCCTCCTGTGTTTACGTACCTTGAGCTAATGTTG